CCTCGCCCATGGTGGGGTCATCAGCCTTGTAGGCGTCCAGCTTGTCCTGGATGAGCTGGGCCAGCATGGCGTTGTCCTTGTAGTCCCTGGAGGAGACAGGAGAGGTCAGCTCACCAGCATGGGATGGGGAGGAGGTGCTGGGTTCCCTGTGCAACATCTTTGGCTCGTGGGAGAGGAGGGACCCGAGCAGGTTTCATTGCCCGTTTCCACCTCTCCTTGGTGTGCTCCACCTGGTCTCCGTGTCACTTATTTAGGGTATCAACCCTTCCCCATGCTCTCCAGAGCAGGTCAGCGCCTGTTTTCACACTGAGCATGGGTGTCTGTCCATCCCACCATCTCCATCCCCACATCCTCACCAGCACCAGTACCACAGCCTCACCCATGCCCCGGGCTCGGCACAGCCCCAGCTCTGCCACACTGCCGGGGGGCACGGCAGGTCCTGGGGGGGTGCGACCGCACTGCCCTTACCCCCGGTACCGCACGGCCGGGTACTCCTTCAGTGTGGCGCACAGTGTGGCGATCTGCTCGGCCAGGCGCTCCAGGATGGGGTTCTTCATCTGGGCCTTGTGCGGGCTGTAAAAGCTTTGGAAGGAGTCGGCTGAATCCAGGGAGTAAACCTGGGAGGTGGAGCAGGAGGGAGGTTAGAGGGGATGCGCCGCAGAGGATGTCCAGAGGAGAAGGGCCCTGCAGGGCATCCCGATGGGTTTGGAAACCAGATTCAACCCCAGGCAAAGGTCCAGCTGAGCCTGGGACTGGGTAGCAGGAGCTCAGGGATGCTTGGAGCATCCCTTGGGCTTTCAGCTGCCAGCTCTGGACCCCAATGCCTTCCCCATCTCTGCTCCGTGATGCGGTCCCTCGCCCTACCCACATGTAGCCCCCCAGGGTGAGCAGAAGAGGCACAAGACCCCCTGCCCACAGCAATCACCCGCTCCCGGGCAGGGAACCAGTAACCCAGGGACAAGTGGGGACACACTGCTCCTGGTAAACACTAGAAACCGATTTGGCTGCATGTGGGGATGCCAAGAGGTC